AGGGAATCAGCTTCAGTGGTGTGGCGGTTGAAGTGGCAGCTTGGAGTTCTAAGAATGGTAAAAGGGCTTCCAACAATTGGTGTACCCAATGTTCCCTTAATTTCACAGATTCCTCTGCAATAATATTCGTCTTTTCTAGAAAAGGTCTGTCACTGTGGGACACTGACAACGGTGGTGCCACGCCATTGCACTGGGCCACACAATGTTGCGCTGCCAAGGTCAGTTTGCTTCATTTATCAATGCTGTTTTAAATTTTTATGTATGTCAAGTTTTCTGCTCACCCTTTTATACATCATATTTTCCAAGAAAATATCATGGACGATTTTATTGTCATTTTACCTCGGTCAGGAATCACGCCTGCGTCAAGAAATTTTCTGGGGGTCGCACTTGTCCCGAGACTGTTCTGGTACTTAATTTTTCGATTTTGGACCACCCGCCAGTTGTCGGGACGATTTCCGTTTGTCGGTCAAGGTGTCCACCTCTCGCCGATCGAGAGAGTGGCGATGTTGAAGGAGGTCGCACTTGTCCCAAGACTGTTGTGGAGAATAAGAAGAGAGGGGGGAAGGAGGGTAGTTGTACTTACCCAAATCTTCTCCCGTACTGTGTCTTACTTTGATCACACTTTTTCAGGTCGTTCGATTTATTCTCCAATCCGGTAAATCACCTCAAGGCCTAGCGCCATTTCTAGTCGCCGGACAAGGATGGTGTCACGCCAATACACATAGCAGCATGTGGTAATGGTAAAATACTTCAGGTTGGTCTTTCACAGTGCAAATTCGATAGATATTTTTAGCTTGCCTAATTTTTTTCGTCTTATTTTCTCTTGTTTTCTTTCCTTACTTTGTTTGATTTCTTTTCAGTCTGAATTTTCATAGGGAAAGTGAGCTTGTAGAAGGCTTAATCGATACTAATATCCGTTTACATTTTCACAGATGTTCATCGATGCTGTTACTGCTACAGACGATGTGTTCGGCTTGGCCCAAGACAAACGAGGACGTGGTCCCTTGCACTATGCGGCATCTAAAGCTAGCGGTTGAGAGTGTGAGGTTGATCTTAGGCAGGTTTTCTACATACACCATTTCTCGTTCATCCGTTCCTGTGGCAGAGAGAACGATTTGTCATTCCTTTCCAGATTCCCCAGCTTTGGGCCTGCCTGTCGATGCGAGAGATTCATGTGGTCTCACTCCTCTTATGTGCGCAGTCGGGGTTCCATTCGCACAAGGTATGCCTTCTCTTCATAATGTTAATATCAAAATGCTCCCTTTCCTAAATCAAGCCGCAGAGACGTACGCGTGGCTGCGATGGTGCATATCTGAGGACAGCTCGGGCGTGGCTGCAATGGCCACAAGGATCCATGCGGTAAAGGGGCAGCTACGCATACAGAAAGAAGAGCGTAGACGCCGATTCAACATGTGTGGGGTCTAGTTCTTTCGCTCTGCTCGACCTCAAAGCATCGGGAAACTTGGGACTGGTGGTCCGATACTAGCGCCCACTTCTACGTAGGTCCTAATAGCCTCCATGTTTTTTAATATAGAGTGTTCTTATGGAATGGTTGATAAACCGATGTGGGAGCACACGTAAGGTGGCGAGTTTGAAGGGGCGGGAGGGAGGGCATTTGACTTTTGCTACTCACCATCGGCGGTTGATCTAGGCAGCCTCCTCTTGAGTTGACAGATTTTACCATGATGGCTAGATGAGCTTGCTCCAACTTCACAAGAGTTCACAGGTTTCGCGGCAGAGTGATAGACTTGTAAGTCGTGAGCTAGGAAGCACTGGTAGAACAAAGGCCCCCCCCCCGTCGTCAAACTGCGCCCACGAACAATAAATTCACTTTGCTCAGTCATGCCCACTGGCTCTACCTATCGCCCGATGAGGATATCTACTACGTCTTGAAATTCACTCCTTTGAAATCTCTTCGACGATTCGAAGTCTCATTTCTCTGACCACTTGATATTCAGCAGGTAAATCTTTTTATTAAGGAGTGGATGTTTGCCGCCTTCTCGCCCCGACGAAAAGAAATCGATCTGCAGCCCGAAAATCGCGATGGTCTGTCAGCAAACAATGTCATTTGGCAACAAGCTATCGCTATAATCTCAGGTGCAAGTTATTCGCCGAGGAGATGGCAAGAAATGTTGAGGTAAAGACAACCTAACCCCAACAATGGGCTAATAAGCACACAAATTCTTGCTAGGATTGGCCCAGTCGGCATGACCCATTAAGAATGATAGGGTCGTATCCAGTGCCGCTAGTAATATTCTATAAGCGCTCTCGTGGGCGGGCCCATACAGAAGGCAGCGTTTCCATTGATAAATGTAACAACTAGCTAACTTTCTAGGTTTAGAGCCTTTGTAGGCTCGGCATAAGTTGCTCTGAAATGACCCTCGATTCTCGCTAAGAAGCGCCACTTGCCCTCACAGGAACGCAGCCCTTATCGCCGGTCTAGGTGGGTTTCCTAACCTTATAACTACTGCATGGATAGACTGTATTGCTCTCCAGTTGTGGAGGGTCGCATTTCCAATGGAAACTGACTGCAGTCGTTATCCTTGCGAACGAGAGGGTCTGTGAGGTAACGTGCGTTAGAGCACATTCGAGGCAGTTTTCCCATTAATTATTCCGGGCAAAGAATGACTTGGTATGAGACTGTCTTGCCCAAAAACTAAGCTTTACATCTCTCTTGAGCGCGATCTGGTTCCTTCAATATTTCAGCAGAAGTGCTTTGCTGTTAGTCGTGATATTCGAGTCAGAACCTGGGCCCCGTCCTTTGCTCATGAATCAGCTTTTTTGTGGCCACTTTCGAACCACAAACTGACAAAAACAACATTGACACCAAAGAATCCAGAGTGAACCTATCCCTTTCCACCGCAACTGAAATATTGCTCTTCACGGAGAGTTCCAACGATAACTGCTCCGGAGAGATCTCATTGTTATGTTTCGTTCCAGGTGTTCGACAACGAAAACTGCACTCCACTTCATTACGCTGCAGAACAAGGACATTACGAGATTGTGCAGTTACTGTTGGCGTGCGGA